AAAGTTTAGAACTCTTCAGCAGCACACAGTCTAGAATTCATAGACTATTGGTTGAATGAAACATGCTTGTTCTGTCACTCATGGTATTAGGAGTAAGTACTGGTGAAGTGTATCAATGAGTTACATTGAAAGAACAGAAAGAAGGGTCTACATTAGGTTTTTCACATATGTACCAGGAGGATTCCGGTTAAAAGGGCCAAGTAGTTTAAGCTCTTCAATTACCAAAGAACTGATAGACACACTGGCATCATTCAAAATAATTAACAGACGAAATAGCTCAAGTCTTCTTCAGTTTACTGACGCTGTCGCTTATAAGACGTCTGAAACCTGACCTATATGTCCAAAAGGAAACTATCGTTGAACTCCAATTACCTTGGTGACTCATCCCCTAATAACTCTTGGTTTTCGAACTTCATTAACTTATCTTTTCAACGACCTGTCGTTCCCCCCCCCACACCTTCGTCGCCTCGTTTTTTTCAGTTTGACTTCCATTAGAGATAATTTCCCTTGATATTATGAGTTCTACTCAGGATATTACATCATCATCTTTTTATCTGACCTCTTGTATACCAGATTTTGTTACCATCCTAACAACAAACTTGTCAATTAATTTTCTAGAAACTTCTCTAACACGTATATATATATATATACTTACACTTCATCTACGTTGTTGTCCTGATATTTTACCTCACCATGACACGCTTGTAATATACTTTTTGATGACAAAATTAGGTTAGAATTTTACGCTAACTATTTTTTATTGAAGATTATAGGTTGTATGCAGCTGATGAGGAGAACCAATGATATAAAGTGGATCCATTCGAAATGAGTTGTATTCTCTGAGGAGCTGGTTGGTTTAATTGCGAAGCTTTTTTCGTCCACCCCTTCTAGACAACATCTTCAGCTCAGTGAAAGTTTTAGCATAAAATGAACTGATTTAAATTCTCCATAAATGACAGAATTGTGTCTCCTCACAAACCCCTAGTAGTCGATTTTCATCTGTATTGATCATTTTTTACTCACTTGGAATTTGAAATTTCTTGGCTTGTTATTTACTTTTCATTAGCTGGTGGTAGATTCGGTCTGTAGTAATGTGTGTTTTTTAATCGGTGGCTGGTTCACTTTAATAGTACCAGGCTTCTAGAAATTCCCTGGCAGTATTTTCAGTGTTCCCTCTATTTAAAATCTCGACATTATTCCAATTTGATTGGAATATCATGACATATCGTGACTGGCACTAGTCACTGTCATCAGTGGCAAGTATTTGTCCTCACACCCAACCTGCTGAACCCTACTGGTCACGACTTCCCACTAGAACCCCAGGTAATTACCCACATGAATAGGGTCAGTGGCTAGTGAGCATCTCAGTGATATTCAAGTGTTCGTTTGTAGGGATTTGATTGACTGATTACAGGATTTCATCATGAGCTGATATCGGTTAGAGGACCATTGGAATGTATCATAAGTGGTTTTACTAAATATAAGAGGTTGTACTCAGCTGACGAGAACCAACTAAATTTAATGAATCTATATAATTCTGCACCAAATTTTGTCCTGTCTCATGTACGTATCAAGTGATTCACATAAACCTTCAAATTTCGTCCATCTAATTTGCATCTAACGCGTGCAATGTGAATGACGCTACACCAACACTAGAGATATAGAAATTATTATCACCAATAATAAGAATGGACGATTTGTATTAGTGGTGTTTAACTGTTGTCATCCTTCAATTAAATTCACAATGGAAGCTGAAAATGAATGAAAGAGTCCATTGCAGGACGTCGAACTGACAAGAACAGGTCATGTAACTCCGGAAAGATCTATCCACAAAAACTGACAAGCCTCCAAAGTTGAATACCTATAGATCGAAAAAGAGCTCTCGTCATCTCGCTAGCCCACCGTACCAGAAGAATTTGTAGCGGTGACTGCTTAGAAGAAGAGCTTCTATTTCTCAAAATCACCGTGACTCAAAATGGATACCAGACGCGTTTCACTGAGAAGAACATGAAACCAAAGTCGAAAACGGGAGAATGTACTTTAGTACCAAAGAAGACATTATATATTTGAATCTGGAATTCAGGGGACATCTAACATCCCTAAAGAAGACCTTTCCTGCAGCGACTCTAAAAGTGATATTCTCCAGCCACCCACTGATTCGGAGTAATGTGAAGGACAGACTTCCGCAAATGGCTGCAAAAGGGGATGGGCACTGGTTCAAACAGAAGTGCCATAACTGAACACCTCATTAAAACACGTTTCACAACATCTCAACTAACTCATTTATTCAGAGTCATTTACAAAGTAAACAAAATTCCACCACCAAAGGCAATGTGCTTCCAACTTCTTTGTACTGCAGAAGCCCCCCTCCCATATGCATCGAAAAATCGGAGCTGTGTATTCAAAAGAAACTAGTCCAACCCCGACATTTACCATGGATCTAGTTCGGTTTGTCTTCCCAGGTGTCGTTTTTTCATCCCCTTCATTTTCCATCTTTTTCATTTTCAGTTTAAAAAATATTATTCTTTCAACTAGTTCCTATGCCCATCTTATTCACATCTTCAGGCGTTAAAAAAGAACTATTTTCTAGTCCTTTGTATTTTGTCGTCAAGCCCCTTGCGGCCTATATTCACACCCATGAACTTACGTATCAAGTGTGAATTAAAATTACTTCTCCAGTTATCCAAAATATTAATTTCACATACATTGTAACTGTTTTTTTTAATCCTGTGTAATCTTACCTTCTAGCCGCATTGTAATCTATATTCACACCTTCAAATTTTAATGTCAAATTTATATTGCAATGGGTTCTCTCTCCCTTGGGTCCTCTCCTTGCAGACTGTTTTATCGCCAGTCTAGAAAATGGTCAGTTGAAGTCAACGATTACAAAGCTTGCAAATGTATAAAAGGTATGTGTATGACACCTTTATTATTTGTAATAGTGATTATAATGCACTTAATGGTCGCCATCCAGGGATAAAATTCACCCTCGAAATACAGAACGAGTCTAGTATTCATTTCCTCGATGTAAACTTATCAAGGAGGGCCAATGGAACTTTGAAGTGATCGATTTATCGAAAGCTGTCATGGAGTGATCAACTGAGAAATTTCTACAGCTGGCTACCCATTGATCGAAAACGAGACCTGGTCCGGTCGCTTGCCACTCACATTCAGCGTATATGTAGCCCTAATACTGTGGAGGATGAGTTAATTCTTTTGAAGAAAATCCTTATAGAAAATGGATGTCCACCATGTTTTATAAACAAGAATATACACTCAAATCCTATGAAAGGTGACTTATCATCCGTAAACAAGAAAATACTGTACATAAGCTTGGAATTCAAAGGTGACTTAGCTTCCTATATCATTAAAAAAAGCATATCACAGTACTTGAAAAGAGCATTCCCTGCTGAATCGTTGAGATTAGCGTTTCCCAGTCGACCATTACTGTTCAATAACCTGAAGGAAAAGATCCCGCTGTTGACCAACTCTCTATGTGCGTTCATCAATTCACCTGTTCGTGTGCAGCTAGGTATATCGGTCGTTCGACTCGAGTTTTGTCCAAGAGGGTGCAAGAACACTAACCTGCATGGTTACGAAGAGGTGGAAGTGGAGGAATAAGAAGAGAAACCCTTGAAAATTCGGTCGATAATGATCACCTTATCTCTACAGCCTTCGCCTTTAAAGTCATCTACAAGGCAAAAAGTTATCTGCCCAAATCACTACGCACCCAAATCATCTGTATTGCTGAAGCTTTGGCTATCGAAACAGAAAAGCCAGATCTCTGTGTACAGAAAAAAGTTCTTTCAACCCCTTCAACTTTCATGGTCTTAATCCCTCCATACTACAGTATGGTAATCCCCACTTCATATTTTGGCTGCACTTATTTTTTGTTTTGTTTGTTCAATTTATATACTCTTCATTTATGACTTCAGTTGAACTGTCCCCAGTATTATTTCACCTGTTCCATTTGTCATTCTAAATCAATTCTGCTTTGTAACGTTAAATTCTGTGTTATCTAATTTCACACAGTGTTACGTAACATTTCCATTTTATTCGATTTACCTACTAATCCTATAATTACAAACCCTTTTCCTAGATCTACACACCTTATGTATTATTTCATGGAGGATTTCATCATGAGCTGACATCAGTTAGAGAACCATTGGAAAAACCAACAGCGAGTACTGGACAGCTGTTTCGTCATATTTTTGGACTCTTCACAGTACGCATCCACCGGGGTTTGCACCCACGACCTTCTGGTTACAAGGCGAGCTCGTAGACCATTGAGACACTGGGACGTTGCCTTGTAACCAGAAGGTCCTGGGTTTGAACCCCGGTGGTGTATACTGATGAAGAGTTCCAAACTAGGACGAAACAGCTGTCCAGTACTCCCTGGTTTTCCAGTGGTTCTCTAACTGATGTCAGCTCATGATGAAGTCCTCCAACCAATGAAACAAAATCCCTACAAAAAGCAATACTTGTAAATTAGCAATTCTCATTCCTCATAAAGCTTGAAAAGTGCAGAAGTTTTACACATATATTAAGCTTCAAAATATGTTGTTCTCCTTTCCCCTGCCCCTCAAAAAAAAACCCACAGATGATACGCGGACAAAACTCAATTAATCCCATGAAATATTTCATCATCCCATATACAATGAACAATTAAAACAGAAAAAAAGCCGAAAATCACTGAATAGCTTTCAGTTATAATTTAACCATTTCTTGATCACCAATCAGAGTAAAGCAAATTTGGGTGTGTATTATGACTTGTAGATTTATCCAATAACATTTAAGAAATGACTACATTTCCTACACTATTGGTTATGAATAGAAGTATACTGTAACCTTGACAGCAACGATATGATTGGTCGATAGGCTATCGCTAAGAAGCAAATGGTTATGAAAAAAATATTGAGTGGGCGTTATGTCTACAATAAGTTAACCATTTTGCAGAGGTGTGGCATTGCTTGTTCTGTTTCTACGACCTGAGCTTAGCGATGGGTTTTATTGCAGTAAGTACTATTTGCAGTTTATTTTATTCGATAATTATTTTTTTCGATATTCTTTGATATTTTCAGACATAAGTTGTCTAATATTTGTCTCATATAGATGTTAGCGATGAGTTTAGATGTATTTTTGAAGTTATAATTGACATTGTTATGAAGAGTTGATTATTTATTTAGCAATAATGATATATATGAGGTTGGTGGAGTGTAGGAAGCAGTTTTTGGCACTTTCATGTCCTGTCCTCAAATAATAATAATAAGCTGCTCAATTTATTATCCGATGTAAAACCATATTTAGATTTCGAAGTCCCTTGATACTACTACAATCCCTGTACAGGATGTAGGATGCTAAACTTTGACTGGTGACATTTTTTAAAGTTACCTATCTTCGGTGATTACATCACGGTCCTACTGTTTTTGAATTCCCTCCTCTTTTTTAAATAAAACAAAATGATATGCGTTTTATCTGACTACCAACCATACACAGACTTTAAACAAAGATGTAATCTTGCCAGCAAGGGCAGGATCTGAGTAAGTAGGCGATTCTAATCAGGATTTACAAATGTTATGGGTAGATGACTTGAACTAGTCACCACCCAACTTCTTTTTGAAAGTCAAACAGAGACCAGTATAACTACATTCACGGTAATCAATTCCTCATCCGAAGGACCTTTAAAATAATAACCCTGAAGCAACCAATCACATCATTTATCATTGATGTCGTGTAATATTTACCACCTTCATAGCTGTCTTTCAACTTGGCTTCGTAGTTTTGTATGTATTAGGCAGCTATATAGAAAACTTAGAAAATGTTTTAAGGTGATATCCAGAGCTTTTTTTCCTTGTATGTACTAATATGTACTAATAGTACAGCGTGGTTTGTAGTTCCCAGTTAAAAGTTTTCAAAACACTACTCCATATTGGTTTGTTTATTAGGTGTATAACACAATCAGTGAAACAGTATTATTTACTGGATGACGAGGTTTCGAACAAAATTTATTTACTGTTCATAATCATTTCATCAATTATAATCAAACGACTTCGAAACTTGACTTTTATAGTTTTCTTTGTCCTCTCCTCTTTGTCGTCGTACGGGTGGTAGTAGAATTTTCCAGATATCTAGGTGGACAGGTGTTGAATCATTCCTGTTACATGTATTTGCAGTTGATTCGATAAACAAAGCTTCTATTAGTTCAGCTGTACCACTCACTACATGCAATTACACACAAGCATACAATAAGATGGGATAAGCTGACAGTTTTAAAATCTTATGTAACAGGGTGGATGGAGAGATTGATAACAGAAGCTTTGTTTATCGAATCAACTGTAAATACATGTAATAGGAATGATTTAACACCTGTCCCAGATATCTGGAAAATTCTGCTACCACCCGTACGCGATAAAGAAAACTATAAAACTATATAAAGTTTCAAAGTCGTGTGATTATAATTGATGAAATGATTATGAACAATAAATTTTGTTCGAAACGTCATCCAGTAAATAATGATACTATTTCACTCACTGTGTGATACATCTAATAAACAAACTAACATGGAATCACTTACTACCACAGTGTCCAATTTTTACTCATATACTGGTGGTATAGCGTAAACTTTCTGTTGAAGCAGAGATTACAGTTTTTCAAAATGTAAAAATGAACACAGCTTGAGATTATGATTATATTCCAACCTAGTTCATTTTGATTTACAAGAAAAAGGCGTAAACAGCGAAGAAAATTTTTTCCGCTCGACGATTCATTTTCATGAGCTGTACAATCGTAATTATATTTAACAAAGAAATCTTTAGATCAATCTGATACTGGTAAACTTTGTCCTCGGAAAATGTATTACATAATGTTAAAGGTGTAAGAAGGAATGACTAATTGCAAGTTAGAAAAGGGGCATGACGTAATAAGCGTGAGATAATGACTAATCTTATAAGCTCGTGTAGAATGGACAGGAACTAATGGAAAGGCTATAAAGTGTTTTTACTATAAAATCTGTATGAAAAATTGGTGTTATTAATAAACGGTAATAGAGTGGTAATAAAATATGGATGATGGGAATAATAATAATAAACTTACATAATAAAGAGAAGAAGCAAGATTGTAGTAAGAACTTTACTCTGGCCACGGTAGGGCGAGTGAATATATGTAGCGTCTTTGAACGCAGAAATGTGGTTTTAAATCCCGAATAGCTAGTTCATTTTCAGAATGACTTACATTGTCTGAAACCAAACACGAGTGAAGTTTGAAGGTATATTGATTATAGACAATCTTAAATGAAGTCTCTTCCGAAATAAAAGACAATTCAGCGAAGAAAATTTGAGTAATGAGGTGGTGAAAGTTGATATAATTACTCAACAGTGACTTTGAAAGTAAAAGTAAAAGTTTTAAATATGATTAATATCTACCTCCAAGTTGTTATGCAGTTAATATCTAACAAAACTTCACCCCCTAGGAAGACATACTCTTGTGAATTGTAGAGGTATTAAGGTCTATTATGTGGTTATCTAGCATGAACAACGAAGAAACAGCACAACTTCTACTAGGCATTGTTCAGATTATAGTTGTTAATTAACTTCTAGCATTTTAATTATTTAGTGCGTCGGTGGCACAGCCGTAGAATGCTCACCGACCACGCGCATATGTGGTCTGAGGTTCGATCACCGGCCACAGACGCACTCCTTCCTTACCTCACTAAGCTAGTAATATAAGACGAGTAAAGAGAGAGAAGGTTAGGAGGCATGAGGCTAGCAGTAACCCCCCCTCCATTCCGTAAAAATAAATACCACTGCTAGCGAAACTTTAAGCCTCTAGCTTGAAGGTGCCTTATGTTCCGCTGGGAACGTGAAGGTATATACAGAGAAAGAAAAGATTTTAATTATTATTTATGCTAATATTATCGCTGTTTTTATACGATATTTGCTAGTAGTAATTCGGTGTAGTAGTAGTAGTAGTAGTAGTAGCCTACAGTGTAGTTCACATATCTTATTCTGTCTCTAGCCATCATATTTTGAATTAGCAGTCTGATAATAAGTTAATAAGAGAGAATAGATAAGCTTAGTTAAAAGCAAAGATGGATAGGCATTCACATGAACGGATAGAGGAGTGTGTTTTTGCAGAATGCAAGTAGTTCCCAGCTCCAGATAAACGAAAATCATACATATATAACTATTTCAATGGGTTTTTGATTTATCTCACGACCTAGACGGTGTTCCCAATAGTAGCTACAAGTTCTATTGCTTAATTTCGTATCGCTAACTGATAGTACAGTGTCATCCAACAGTATATCACCTAATATTTTTATGCAGTGTTGGCTAAGACTCACTTATCCTAGATATAAGAATAAAACTTGTACACTGTGGTGGAGTGTAATTCCATTATGGGTTAAATTTGTTTTGATAAAGTCTCCCAGTGTAGTGTTATTCAGTAATATTTACTACTGATGACTACGTTTCGAACACAATTTGTTGCTGCTCATAATCATATCAAGGCACTACTCACACGACTTCCTAACTTCATTTATATAGTTCCATTATTTTTCACTTGATTTTCGCTTGATTTGATTGGTAGTAATATTTTCCATATTTCGAGTATGAATGATGAATCATTCCTATTGCATGTGTTGGGTGTAGATTCGATGAACAAGGATTCAGTAATCAACCTCTCTCTCCATCTTACTAGATTACTTTTTAGAATTTTAACCCTCTCCCACTTTATTGTGTAGTTGTGTGTTAATGCATGCAGTGCGATTGCTGGGTTTTATTCTAAATTACTTATGTTCGTGGGATCAATCATTCTAACCTTGACTAAATTCTTATGATCTGACAGGCAGTCTCACTACTCCTGATCTACTAGTTTGACCCATGTAGTTGACCTCACTCACAGTCATTGCAGGGTATTTTGTAAATTATATTATTTTGTCTAATTGGGTCAACTGGGTCCTGTCACCTACAGAGGTTGTCCCTACCTGAGTGAGTTTGTAGGTTTAAATGCCACCCTAATTCCTGCTTTATTTAGAATCCTACGTAGGGAGGGTTTCAGATGTCCCCTCTTTATATGGTATAACTGTAGATGATATATTCTCTCTTATTTATGTTATTATTATTATTAGTTTTACAATTCTTTTTCTTTTGGCCTTTTTCGATCTCCCTAATGAATTTTATAGGATAGTTATTTGACACCTACGCCTCTTCTATCTGTTTTATTTCATTATTTAGGTCTTTTCTTGTGCTACTTAGTGCTATTGCCCGATTTATTAGACAGACACTTAACTTAGCCTGCCTTAACAGTTAACGGATGAGATAAATTAAAGTCTAAATATCTATTAGCAGAATGCGTTGGTATTTTATGAACGCTAGTGTGCAGTTTACCTTCTCCTGTTCGTTTTATTTCACAATTTAACATCATAGCTAATTCTGCTTGTTCATTTTCGGCTTCAAATGTGAATTTTATTCCCTCCACTAGTGAGTTTATGTGTGTCAAGAAGCTAGAGATATGTTCTGTTTTTAACATTGTCATGCACATATCTCCACCATATTTTTGGAGTAGGATTAAATGTTGCGTTAAGAGCCATATTTTTCCCAGCTGTCCATCAATATATCTGCTAAGATAGGGGATATTGGTGATGAGGTGGTGACTTTGAGTTAAGTCAACTACATAGGTCAAACAAGTAGGTAGGTCAGGGCTAGTCAGATTGTCGGAACATAAGAATTTAGCTAAGGTAGGAACTCACTTATCCTACTTTAAAATGTGATGAGGAATTATTATACTCTTGTATTAAGATAGTGAATTGTTTGTTATTGACTGACTACACTTTATTATAACCGTTTCATGATTAAGAATATGCTCTCATTGTTCTTTTTCTTTTCTTTCTTCTTTTTCAAATCAATTTTTACAGAATAATGGTCTTACAGGCAGTCTCTTTTGGACTGTCCTTATCACATGTCTTGGATCATCATTTCTTATTGGTTACAACCTTGGAGTGCTAAATCTGCCAAGAAAAGTGAGTCACCCTTTTTTGCGACTAACGTGTAAACATGCCATTGCCACTGCTTTTACAGTTTACAATTTATTTAGGATAGTAGGCTATATGCCTGTGTTAATCCTTTCGATTTGTTGCACACAGGAGGTCCAATCTCGCCATTGAATGAATCAACGGATGGCGCTGATACGACGTGTTTCCGTAGGGAGTTCCAATGGTTCACAATTCGATGCGAAAAACGGATCTCTAAACGCAGACGATTCGATCGTGGTTTTTGAACCTTGAGGTGATGTCCTCGCAATTGGTTGGTGCTAGAAGGAAGAAATAAATTAGATAAATTAGCTCCAAAATCATTTCTTAGGATACGGTATGCTAGTATTAGGTCACCCCTAAGTCGTCTGTATGACAGTGGAAATAAACCCAGTCGACTTAACCTCTCCTCCTCATATAAGAGGGTTGAGAAACCCTCTATTAGCTTAGTTCCTACTCTTAGCACCCTTTCTAATAAGTCTATTTCGTATTTGAAACACGGGCTCGCTGCCTGGATCCCATATAACAATAATAGTTAAGCTTTATCTCAGACAATATGTGAACATATATTTTCAGAAGTTTTCAGAGTATTTAGTTCCTATTATTAGCTGACATAGTATGGATCAGGTTGAAAGAGTAAATCCACAATAGTTAGTTTAAGCCAGTCACGTAGGGAGGGAGGTGTAGACTTCCTGACTGGCTGACTGGGGTCCTCGGAATGGTAAAAAAACAATGGCGGCGACTGGAGACAATTGAAGATGACATGGCTCAAAAACATCTTTGTCAATGGTTGGTGCAGATGCATCCACTCCTTGTGACTTATAATATCCAATAAAACTATATGTTTCCTTGATATATTACTATTTCTTTTTGCCGCATATCTCTGTTTACTGTCTCTGTTTTGCATCGCCTTTTACTTTCTTCTTCTCTTGCTTTGTGTGCTAATTGAAGTGTAGCGTTGAAACCAGTTAGTCAGTCCTTTTCATACAGAATTTACATGTAAAGCTGAAGTTACCTGAAGTACATCATTTGTCGTAGTGTTTTTTTGCTGCATATGGGGAGAGAACCAATTCTGTAAATTTTTTGTTGTTCACTTTCTTCGGAAATTGAATAGCGTATAACAGGAAACGTGCGTCGGTGGCATGGCGGTTATGGCGCTCGCCGACTATACACATGGTCCGGGGTTTGATTCCCAGCCAGCAGACGCACTCCTTTACTTCGCTAAGCCAGAAATAAAGCTGGTAAGGAAGGAAAGGTTGCGCATGAGGTTAACAACCCCATCCTGTAAAAATAATCACCACTGTTACAGAAACTTCAAGCTGGCTCTAGCTTCAAGCCCCCTATGTTCCACTGGGAACTCGAAGGAATAAAAAATAACGGGAAACTGATTAATTAAGTGTGCTAGTTCATGTATTGATTCATATGATATTGATTCATATGATATTGAAGAGACAATAAGAAGGGAAGAAGAGTTTTGGGCATTTTGATAACTGGAAACTCTGGTTACCCATTGAATTAAGCAGGCCGTCTGAAGCACACAGGCACACATACGCATATTGTTCTCTCTGTCTGTCTATTCTTACTATCCATTACTCCCCTCGAGGTTTTCCACTGATTCTCTAACTGATGTCAGCTCATGATGAACTCCTTCAACCAATCAATCAAACAAGAAATCCCTACAAATAACCAATACTTCAAAATTGATCTTATGCTTACTAGCAACTGGCCTTATTCAGGCAGTTAACCTGGGGTTGAAGGTGAGGCAGTGACTCATCGAAGAACAGGAGATTGGCTAGCGGTCGCTCAATGTCCTGAATTGGCAGAAGTTAGAATTCATGGACTGGCTGGCGACTGGATCAGGTCCCAGTGGTTTAATGGTCTACGAGCACGCTTGCTTTTATCCAGAAGGTTCTGGAGTAAAATCCCTGCAGTAGAGTGGAGGATGCGTACTGTGAAGAGTTCCAAACTAAGCTGATGAAACAGCTGGCTGTTCAGTACTCCGTGGTGGTTTTCCAATGTGGTTCTCTAAATGATGTCAGCTCATGTCTGTAATGCTTTGTCAAATAATGTTAACACAATCTATTTTTTTTAATTTTCCACTCCCAAATATATTCTGTCCTTATAGAATATTGAGGCATACTTCAATGAAACAGTTGTTCCAAACACTCCAGAATTGGATTCCAACTTCTTCTATACTCATACGAGTACAATTTTTGTAGTTGCAGCTGCAATAGGCGCGTTCAGCTGTGGTTGGGTAGCGGATGGTTTCGGTCGGTGAGTATCAATATGATAATTTTGAGTTAATTTTTTTTCGAATAATACACAAAAGATAATAACGTTGTTATTCCATGAGTAATATTACTACTAATAATAATATCTTTATTCTGAACAGTATTTATAAAATGTACAAAATGTTTAGAGGAGTTTATTGTATGAAAACTTTCCCTTCGTACAATATCTTCAAGTAAAATATTAATTAACTGACAGCAGTTCATATCCTGTGACACACGATGGTCTCTGAACGCTGAAGTACAAACCATTCCATTATGATATATATATATATATATCTGCTTTATCTCCTTTAAGAAATTGTAAGATTTTCTGAAGTACATTTTGAGACTGAAGGTTATAACTGAAGAACAGTTTATCTCATATATTGGAACACGTTGCCACCTGCGATCAAGTTTAGTAGGAACTTGTGAATCAGAAAGCATTCTAGATCATATCTTAGTCGATTAAAAGGATCCCAACGAGAGAAAATATATGTGCAATAAGGAGATGGAAGTTTTTGGTAGCCGCATTTTTAAGTAGGCCGTCAGGGTACAGCAGGTACAACTAAATATTAGAGGGGTTGTATGTCATATTTACTGATAATACAAACGAATTTGATATGAAATAGCCGAGACTTTTCGGTAATCTCCATCTGACTTGCTTGTTAGCCATTTTCTATTCAACAGTACTCAGTAATATTATGGTGTGCTTAACCAACTGTAGTGGGACTCACTTAATACAACTCTTTAAGGAGATAAGCATAATATATTCTTCTTCACAATACAGTCAGTCTTACAGGAGGTCAATCGCCAGCCTGAATAGCTGCTCACTGGTAACGTCTCTGACCAACTGCAGACAGCCGACATACACACTGGGGAGTGACGCAGGTTCGAATCTCAGAATGGACATGAGTTCCTTCGTTCAAAGCTTACAGAAATGCCTGTCTTACTGACTGACTAGTGGTGAGCACCAAGTGGCATGAAACCAAGGTGCCGACAAGGCTTTCTGTGGCCGATCGCCTCTAACTATCTATCTATCAACAGTTGAATTAGACATTAGGCATTTAATTGCTTTATTAGTTGAACGAGCTGTTGAATATAATTCGTTGATAAGGTTATTGTGTCAAAAGAATCGTGATTTGAAATATTTCAATGACCCCAAACTCTGTGTATAGATTACTAAAAAAGTGATTGAAATTGCTACTGTATTAAATTATGTATGATATAAGATTAAACTGATAATTGCACGAGTAATAATCATCCATCTCACTTGACACATGAATTAGTATCATATGACAACGGAGTATTAGTCTAAGATGTGTGTACTAACTATATATAGAGAAGAAAAGTAAAATTTATACAAAAAGCTTTAATTCTAATTCAAAGATTTATCCTTGCATAAAACAGAGATATCACGTACAGTCGTTAATGCTCTATCTTAACTCAGGCTAAGCTTTGTTTATTTATGCAATAAGAATACACACAGTTAGATTTTTATCTCTATGACACGTAGTATACTAAGTCAGCCCACCATACTTCTCGTTATAAAGGATATCGTAATAAGCAGTAGGCGGGTGAGCTTGCATTTCTCGGACGATGTGGTGGTTGGTTGGGTGGGGAGGGGGTATGTGGTTACAAGTGTGCTCGAACTCATTTATGCCACTTCTCCAAGTGGTGGTGAATATTGGTGAATAAAGCCTTCAGTCATCAATTATTTCGGGCTTTTTAAAATTCCAGAAGTTGGAAAGCCAAGGTTGCCTATTATCACCGATGATATTCTTAATTGTAGTGCGGTACGTGGGGAGTGAGGAGACAGGGATATGCTGGACTGACTGATAAGAAAACTCTAGAAGATCTGAATTTTGGCGCGTGGATGATTTAAGTCCAGTGTTACAAAAACTCGAATACTTGCAGGCAGGCAAAAGCTAACAAACTGCCTGTAGATGCGAGCAGGATGTGAAGGCAGGACTGCGCGTTAATATAGAGAAGACGGGTGTGGCGAAGATAACTAACCAACCAGCCAACAGCAACAATAATCAGTATCAGTCATCATCAATGGGAGAGATGTGACAGAGTTTACTTCCTGCCTCCACATATCTGACTATGAAGCACGGTTTCAACCACAGGCCAGCGGGTCGGATGCATATATATCAAAACAAGCCAGAATTGAAAGGGTAGGGTACATCTTCATCAATCTGAAAACAGTTTGGAATTCTTCTGCACTCCACCTCAGCTAGCTAGCATAAACAACAAGACTCGGATTTTTTTCAACACCAACGTCAAGTCAGTCAGTCAGTTAGTCACTTCTTCTATATGGGTCAGAAACTTGCACTGTAGTACATCACGAAAAGCATTTCCAACAGCCACTCTTTGCTGGCTTCATGCCGAAGGTCGAATGGCCTATCGGTCGACGAGAAAGAATTAGCAACAAGAAACTTTGACTGGGAACAAATCAACAGGCGAGAGCCGACTGCTCAACAAATGTGTAAGAGGAAATGAGGATGGATCAGGTATACTTGGAGAAGGTCGTTGCCCGAGTGAAATCCCAAATGGAAGCGATGAGTTGGTCCTGTGTCCGAGGGTGACATGGCGGAGGTCATGTGGTGAGGAGAAGATGCGAGGTTATGGGTAAACGTGGACTCAACTCAAGAGGACAGCACCAAATAGAATAATGTGAAGATGTGTTGTTGAAGCCGTATGTTCCACTCGAAACCCAGGGAAATTATAATTAATTATACAACCCGTTAGTATGGCTTAAAGATGCGACACATTGGCTTCAGCACTTTGGTCATGGGATTCACTCCCACTCCATCTACTTCACCTTGGTCAACTGAACGGTATCACCATTCCTCACACTGTAAGTGTAGCTCTTGGCTTGTTTAAGGAAAATTCTGTCCCAATAAATGCTGAGATTAATAACTGAAACTTCGTCTACCGAATTATCATTAGAAATGCACAAAATCGAACTGATTTTTAGCATTTGTTTTCGTATATCTTGAAAGTTCTAATACTTTTCATACATTTATTCCCCTTAATGAATTTGAATAAAGCAAGAACAACAGTGGTAGTTTGTGCAGAATACAAGATGGTACCATCATGGCTTATTTCGTTGACTTCTCATCAGCTGCTTACAGCCAAGAGTCATTATTAAGTATATCTACAGAAACAATTTTAACATACTTGCACAGAGTTCATTTTTAAGCAAAAATCAATCAATCAGTATATATATATATATATATATATATATATATATATATTGACCATTATTCCGAACAATAGTGATCATACACAATGAAAACTCTCGACATTACGTAATCAGATGAAAGAGAGGGTGAAAATATCCAGTTACCAGAAACGCCAAAGAAAGACTGATAACTGTTTGTTTCTGAACGCATAAATCAGGTTTCAGGCGCTTAACGGAGATTGATTGCTTCAACAAACTTGGGGAGAATTGAACTTCTTTGACTATTGATAATTTTGAATGACTTTCCGACGTCCACCTCATGAGTGATCCATGTCAGGGAGATGCCTCGCGATGGCAATGTTTAAAGCATTTGTTCCCCACTGGAAACATAGGCTTTTTGGTACATGTTCCGAAAATCGTAGAAATGCCCTTCTTTCTGTTCTTCTAATGTAACTACTTCCACAGATACATTTAAATTTGTATATACAGTTGGAGTTGTCAACATGAGAAGGATATTTATCGATTGTACCAAAGATTATTAATTATTGAGTAAGTTAAGTTGAATGTAGTTTGTTTGATGAATGTAATGCTCTCAGAAGAGATGATGGCGACTTGTCATCTTCCGTTTATGGTCTCCTCTTTTATTTCATAAAAAACTAACATTTTACACTGTTTTTTATTTTTCTCTCTTTTTCACAGACGTAATGGTTTAATTATCAATAACATTATTGGTATTATCGGTGGAGTTATTGTTGGTCCTTGTGTCCTCGTCAAACAGCCTGTCCTGCTATTCGTTGGTCGTTTTGTTATCGGTATCAATAGTGGGATTACAATCGGCATAGCTTCACTTTATCTAACTGAAGTTGCACCTCGTGATTTACGCGGTGGAATTGGAGCTTGTCATCAGTTGGCTGTAACCATTGGCATTGCTTTCTCTTATTTCATCACATTTTCATTTTTACTTAACACTGAAAATCTTTGGCCTCTTGCTGTTGCTTTAGGAGCACTTCCAGCCGCGACATCATTAATAACGCTACCATTCTGCCCTGAAAGTCCAAGATTCTTATACATGAAACGGAATAATGAACCAGCAGCCCGGAAAGCATTCCTAAGATTGAATACTAAAGAAAATGTTGATACATTTATTGGAGAACTTCGTGAAGAATTAGAAGTAGCGAAAAATCAACCTGTTTTCAAGTTCACTCAACTTTTCACTCAGCGAGATCTACGCATGCCTGTACTTATTGCCTGTCTTATTCAAGTCTTGCAACAGTTGTCTGGAATTAATGCGGTTAGTGACATTTTATGTGTATACAATATACCCAATAGTCTCATCACATATTTATCGATAATTCTCTCGGTTATTTATATATTTTTATTCCTTTACGTCCCCCCCCCCCTAGTGGAAGGAACATAGGGCTTCAAGCTAGAGCTTTAAAGTTTCAGTAACAATGGTATTTATTTTTTACGGGATGGGGTTGCTGTTGGCTTCATGTGCCCAACCTTCCTTCTATACCAGCCTTAGTACTGGCTGGACCATATGCGTAGTTGGCGAGCATTCTACCACTGTGCTTCCGATTCACATTAAATTTAGTCTTTTTTATTATGTATTCTTTTACAGCACTTCGTCAGAACTACAGACCAGTTCTCCAGTGTGGATGAAACACAGTCACTAAACAGAGAACTGTCGTCCTCGACATTACTTTTAAACTGTCTTTATAGATTCATTAGACAATGATAGTCATTCCTTTGCAAATCAAAAGTCTTCCTGTGGTCGCATACTATTGGTCTCACTAGATTTACTCAGTGTAACCACGGCAGAGCTGCATTTAGCACCTACGAAGAATCCTTAAAATCAAACACGATTCACCTTTGGACCTATATCTGAATTTTCAAATTTAAGTTGAGATACTTTTGAATGTAATGCTTTCGAAAATTCCGAAATGATGTTAATAATAATAATCACTTTTTAGTATTGGTTTGTAGGTTGCGCTATGTCGTGAATTGGCAGAAGTAAGAATTCACGGGCTGTCTGGCCATTGGATCGGATTCCAGTGGCCTAATGGTCTACTAGCTCGCTTGCCCTGTAAACAGAAGGTCCTGGGTTCGAACCCTGGCGGTGGGTGCGTACTGCTGAAGAGTCTCAAAACTGCGACGTAACAACTGTCCAGTACTCCCAGGTGGTTTTCCGAAGGTTCTCTAACCAATGTCAGCTCATGATGAAATCCAATAATCACTTTATTCTGAAGAATAATAATAATAATCATACAGAATGGAATCTTCAGCACTCGTTTTTACATATTGCAACAATTTACCTCCTTTCAAAAATAAATTTAATTACATAAAATTTAAAATGGTAATAATAATAGTAGTATTAATAATGAAACCAACACTATAAACAAAATGTTGGCAGAAACATAACGAAGTATAAGTAGATAATATCACAGATAATACACGTAATAGTAATGATAATCTTTGCTTATACTCACTTTGTATTTCAGTTACCTGTTTAAAAAGTTCACAAGTTCTTTTCTGACATCTGACTTGCTTTCCACATACACACACACAACTACGCGTGCTAAATGTGGTGGCATGGTAGAATTTTTATATTTAGTAACTGTGTGAGCGTAAATTAATTATGAAGTTCCTTCTAGTTTTCCCTGCTGAAGATATACAAGGCAAACGGTTGAAAATCATGAAGAGGATGTTCGGTGTCGGACAGAATGATTTCAGAGAAATGACTGCTTGCAAGAATTAAAATGCCAATCGGTAAACCGCCTACCCAACTTACAGCCTTCAGTGTTCAACGTAATATGATATAGTCTGTTTCAAGAAGTCCAGGATAGAATAAGTGGGTGAACAATAAAGAAGGAGAATGGGTATAATACATGAATTAACAGATTGTAAGAGAAGAGATGAGGTTGAGTTATGATGCCAGCAGAAATTCTCAACTTCTTTATGCAATAAGTCAAAGGAACCTTCTTCTTAGAAATCAATAGGATATGAGACGATGACCAATAGAGATTGGAAGAGAAACTGATGCCAAACTGAGAGATACTCAATTTACTCCCTATGATCACAGTGCCGTCAATATGCGATTGAACCAATCAGTCGACGAACGCAGGTCTTGTTCGTATCCAAAACTATAAAATCAACATGTTTCTGGTGTGATTATACAAGCTTTAGTTTCGGTCCCCCAATACTCTATGACATTACACGGACTCCTAGAAGAAGGAAAAAGATTCCACAATTGGGGAAAATAGTTTTAATACTTGGCATAAGTGACTGCTGAGTGACTTAAGTCCTATTGAGCCACACAAGAACCAATCGCCTGATTTACAACTTGATCATGTTCAATTAAAAGAAATACGTATGTACCCCAGTTCTTGATGATGAAACGTTCACAGTAAAAAATGAAAACTCAGAGAACTGAGAAGAAAAAATACTTTCAATTTGAGTAACTGGATAGTGTCGAGAGCTAAGGACACACACACACTCTCTCTCTCTCTCGTTTCTGTTACCATTGTACACTAATTAATTAACTGACTTATCCGACAAGGGGATGATTCTCTATAATCCTTCGAAGTGAGGACAGGAGTAAGACAAGGCTGTCTACTATCGCCAATGATTTTCCTGATTGCAGTAGATTGGATAATGCGACAAACAGCGGGAAATGAGGAAACAGGCATAAAATGGACTCACACAAAATACTTAGAGGATCTGGACTTCGCCGATGATATATGTCTGATTTCCCACAAACTGGAAGATATGCAAGCGAAAAGCAACAAGTTGGCAGAAGAGGCATCCAGAGAAGATAGGAATTCAGGTGAACATAGAGAAGACAGAGGTGATAAAGATTCCTGGGCAACATCAACAGCAACAGTAATAACAACAGACAACAATCAGCATAAATGGAAGGAACCTGAAAGAAACAACCTCCTTCACCTATCAACCTGGGAAGCATCGTTTCAACTACAGGCGGACGGAACTGATGAGGATATCAAAACAAGGATCGGGAAAGCAAGACAAGCTTTCACTACTCTCAAGTCTGTGTGGAGGTCAACAACACTCAGCATCAAAAATAAGATCCGGATTTTCAACTCCAATGTGAAGTCAGTGCTACTTACTATACGGATCAGAGACTTGGCGCGTCATAAAGAGCACCTCAAACAAACTACAGACCTTCATTAACAGTTGTCTTCGCTCAATACTCCAAGATCAGATGGCCAGAAAAGATCAGCAACAGGGATCTCTGGGAGCGAACCAACCAGGAACCGATTGTGAAACAAATAAGCAGGAAGAAATGGAGATGGATTGGCTGGCCATACTCTGAGGAAACCATCAAGTGACATCACTAGACAAGCCATTGCTCGAGTGGAACCCGAAAGGGAAGCGGCGAGTTGGTCGTCAGTGTAAGGGTGACTTGGAGGAGGTCATGTGAAGAGGAGATGAAAGCGTGTGGGCAAACTTGGAGCCAGGTGAAGATTCTAGCAGAGAACCGAACGCAATGGAGACGCACGGCTGAAGCCCTATTTTCTTCTAGGAATTAAAGGAAACAATAATATAATAATAATAAAATATTAGAGTGAGTAAGTTTCAAATCCTTTTGTATTGGTTTTATTTACACACTCTGTCTCCTGTAGTATATTTATGAATATCGATTTATTTCTTCTCATTGTCGTACACAGGTTATTGCTTATTCCTCACTTATGTTGGAATTGGCTGGTATTAACGATGATTACTTACAATACTGTGTCTTTGCTATCGGTGTGCTGAACGTTATTGTGACGGTTATTTCTCTACCACTATTGGAACGTGCTGGACGTCGAACACTACTACTATGGCCAACAGTATCTCTGGCCTTGTCGTTATTACTACTTACAATCTTTGTCAATTTAGCAGTTACAGGTCCTGAAGAATACAGAACTGCTATGGGAATTGTATCCTGTATTTTGATCTTGGTATATATCTGCAGTTTTGCACTTGGTCTGGGTCCAGTTCCTGCACTTATTGTATCAGAAATATTCAGACAAGGTCCTAGAGCAGCTGCTTATTCGCTTAGCCAGTCTATTCAATGGTTATCGAATTTGATTGTTCTGTGCAGTTATACCGTTATACAAGTTAGTCCGTTTTATATTCTTATGACTTCAGCTTTTTGTGTGTGTGCATGTGTTGTGCTGTGTTGTTTCTTTCCACCCCCCCCATATAGGAATCACCTATATTCCTGACTAGTCTCTTCTTGAATGAATCAATTAATTACACATCTTTCCTAGGTAGATTCTATTTTTTTGAATGCCTTTACGTTCTCCCCCCCCCAGTGGAACATAGGGCTTCAAGCTAGAGCTTCGAAGTTTCGGTCTCTGGAATAAAATCTCATTTGACTAGTCACTAGTAAATTGTAACATAATAAATAGAGGTTTTTTACGTGCAGTCATAGTCTCAGGTTTTCACTCCAATGTTTCTCCATATGTTTCTTTGTGAAACTACTCGGATAGCCCATCTCTGTCAAGGAATCATGATCATATATATTCAAATTCCTTTTGTAAGAAGTCATCCGTACATATCTTTCTTGCTCTGCTCGTAAGACATTTAACAGCATTCCTTTTATATTTAATGGGCACGTAACTAAGAAAGTGCGTGTATTGCCCTGTGAATGTGCTTTTTCTATACACGCTTCTCCCAAGTGACCTACTTAGCAAGATATCCAGAAAATGTAGTTTATTCTACTGCTCGTCTTCACAAGTAAAGCTAAGCGAAGGGTGGATATTGTTGAATTTCAGCAACAGTTCATCTATGTTAACCTTCCCATCAGCTAAGATAAATGTATCATCGACATATCGGTGATTCTTATTAAACTCTTTGATGATGTCCTTCAATTTCCCGTTTTCAAGTTTTGCGAAAAGAAGTCAGCTAATATTGGGCCTAATGGTGAACCACCCATAGCTATTCCATCTACTTGTCGGTAGTATGAATTATTGAAGACAAAGTGAACATTCATTGTGCATTTGAGAAGTAATTCTTTGAGGCTACACAAGAGGATTCCTAAGTTCAATTGCCTTTCGGTGATTTCTTGACAAATATAATCTACTGTTTCCATAAGCGGTACATTAGTGAATAGTGATGATACATCCATGGATAACATGCGTTTATACCTCACATTAGTCTCGGATATTTTAGAAATAAAGTCGAAGACATCAGTAATTCTATGTTGCACGATTTGTCTGTGCAAAGGGTCCAGAATCTTCACTAACCACTTCGCTGTTCCGTGAAATAGACAGAGTTATACATATCTAAAACAGGGCGAAGAGGAAGACCCGGTTTGTGCACTTTGGGTAAACCGTAAAGACGTGGAGCATTGATTGGTACTCGTCGGTTTCATGGACTTATACGTGGTTGATGATAATATTCCTATTTAGTTCAGTTTTTTGAGGGAGTGGGTCATTAGTTTCTCCGCTCTTACATCGAGGTCTTTGGAAACACCAAGGGATTGGAATTTAGTTTAATCAATAATATTCATTATGATCATTTTTTAAAATCTCTTTTCCTTTTTTTCTCTCTTTCTATAAATCTAGAAAAAAATTGGAGGATATTCATTTCTACCATTTCTTGTCATCGTCATCATATGTTGGATATTCTTCTTCTTATTTATGCCTGAAACTAAAAATCGTACATTCGATGAAGTTGCTCGTGATCTGGCCTTTGGTAATATTGTCGCCTTCAAGCGTACTACAGCGCTAGAAGATCGTAATCTTACCATATTCACAAAACAAGGCAACAATGCATCAAATGCTGATGGACCAGCTTCCGAATCTCTTCTTTATTCAAGAAATACCAATGATAAGGGTACATATGCGTAAAGCAAAACATTTTTTTTCGCAACATTATTGCTTATCTCTCTTATGATTATAGGGAATTACTATGCGAATCTCTCCCCTAAGAAGATATATATATATATATATATCCTTATGTGTTTGTGTATAATTTTATGCTAGTATGTATGGATGTGTGACAGCTGCGTGCAATCTATCTCTTGGATTTTGCTTGTATTCACATGTATATGCAGTACGCGTGTGTGCGCTTATCCTTACTGATTAGTATTCGCGTATATTTCGTCAGGAGGTTTCTTTCACCTTTCGTATAGTGTATTGTATAATCACACCACCTGCGTCGTATATATAAACACTTTTGTTTGTTTGTTTTGTTTTACACCAAACTTAACACTGTCTTATTATTATTATGAACACTTTTCGCTTAATTGTTGTATTTCGCTTCAATAAATCGCTGTTGTGTTTTTTTCGCCAATCCATGCCTACATATATGATAGTGATACTTATTTTCCATTGTAATTCTATACAACAGGAGTTTCAAGATCAAAGGACGTTTTACCTAACCCTGAATAATACCAGGGGTATTATAGGGTATTAAACATTTTGTTACTTGAGGAAACATAGGAGAGAAGAGAATGTGAATATATAATCGCCGAGTCAATTTGAATTAGTAGTTGATGATGATGGGAACTTGATCTCTACATACATACGCCCTTCAATGTCACCACCACCCCTGCCCGCCTCCGTCTGCCTACTCTCCTCTTCTCTCACATTCTCTTTTCATGTCTGTGCAATCTTTACCAGTTTACGTTGTTTTGATTTTATCCTATCCGGTTTAGTTTTAAAAAACAAAGCAATTATTAGAGAATATTTCGTCTCATTCTTTCTTTTATTTGATTGTTATTAAAAAACCTCCTGTGATGACGTTTCTACTTGCGTAAAAAAGCATGTTTTTAACTTCCTCCCCTTTGCCCTTTCCCTCAAATGCAAACAATTATAACAGTTCAGCAGTTAATTGATTTGATTTTTTGTTGTTGTTCTATCTCTTCTAATCCGTCGCTATAAATGTGCAACAAATTTTGATTTTTTTGGTTTTTTATTTACCCACAACCACCCACCCCTAAACACTCACAAATATATATATGCTTATGTCATTAATGCCAGATTCGTAAAGTATAATTTTTCATCATATATAATAATTGTATTCTGTTGAATTCATGTTGTCAGTCTTTACGGTTTGTTAACAATTGGGATCTCCAGGAAGAGAAGATCAGGCGATCTAAGAGAAACATATATATATATACGTCCGCAAACCAAGTTCACTTTTATTATTATTATATTGTTATTGTTCCCTTGGGTTCCTAGTGGAACATAGGGCTTCAACTACACGTCTCCACTTGCTTCTGTCTTTTGCTGTACGTTTCACCTGCGTCCATGTTAGTCCATACTGTTTCAACTCTTCTTCACACGATCTCCTCCGTGTCACCCTTCGACGTCCCACTCGCCGCTTCGCTTTCAGGTTCCACTCGAGCTATGGCCTGACGCGTGATGTCACCCAACGGCCTCCTCAGCTAGTGTCCGATCCATCTCCACTTTCTCCTGCATATTTGTTGAGCGATTGGTTCTTGTTTTGTTTGTTCCCATAGCTTCTTGTTTGTGATTCTTTTCGGCCATCTGATCTTCAGTATGGAGCGAAGGCAGTTGTTGATAAAGGTCTGCAACAGGCTGTTGGAAATATTCTTTGTGACAGACTGGCCAAGTTTCTGATCCGTATAGAAGAATTGACGACGTTTGTATTGAAAATCCGAATTTTGTCGTTGATGGTGAGTGACGAAGATTTCCAGATTGGTTTCAGGTTGATGAATGTGTTTCTCGCCTTTCCGATTCTCGATTTGACATCCTCTTCCATTCTTCCTGTAGTTGAGACAATGCTCCCTAGATAAGTGAATGAAGTTGTTGTTCTGCTATATTTTGACCAAACTAGTGTACACGTATACCTGAGTACTTCTTCTCGTTTATAATTGTGACCTAACGTTGCGATTACTCGACATCTACAACGTAATTCAAAAGGCACTTGCGAAGGAATACGATAGTGTATTATTGCAGCAATCAAAATTCAAAAATCGAGCGAGTACAAAAAGTATCAATTGTTAACATGCAAGATTTAGAGTAATAAACAAATCAAAGTACAATTACACAATGAAAGCATACTGCGATGATGAGTAATAAAACGGGTCACTGCAAAGTAACCTCATTCAAATCCCTCCCGTTGATGGTGATTGGCGCTGGATGTTGATGCTGCTGTTGTTGTTGGTTGGTTATTTTCATAACCTCCGTCTTGTCTATGTTCACCTGGAGTCCTGTCTTCACCAGCTGCTTCTTCGACCAGTTTGTCGGTGGAATCAGGATAATGCGCATTTCGTCCTATTTGGGACTCACCAGTCAGCTAGTGGATGTACCTGCATTCCCCACCGAGGCTCGAAACCAGTGCCCATAGCTTCAAACTTCAAAGCGCTATCCACTCGACCACTTGGGCAACGAGAGCCACGGTCTCTTGTGCAACGAGTCCTAGTAATTATTCAATTGAATTTTAGATTTTCCCGTCACTTTTAATAGTTTGAAAAAATAATTTGGGCATTGGGTATTTGTGTGATATTATAATAGAGGGTTTTTGTATTTCCTAGTGTGAATGAAAAACAAAACGATATCGTTGTTGTTTTTACTCACGTTTCGCTATTCATTAATGCTGATGCTAATAGCGTCGGTAGCACAGTGGTTAGGACTCCCGCCGACCATGCACATGGTCCGGGGTTCGATTACCTGCCGACGCACACCCGATATCTATGGTCGGCCTGTAAAATTTGGGCTACCGATATCCATGCTGAAAATTCTATACTTCTACCAAAAGTACTGTGTGGAATCAAGCTGTAAACAAAAATATAAAATAAATAAAATAAATAGTATTATTAAACCAGAATTTACAAAATCCACTCAGCTTGCATTATATGCCAACTTAATCATCGTTCACCAGCTTGGAGTCATTTTTGTGTTACTGTCAATTTGGCCAATTGATAAAGATAACAAAACCACGTGTAGATTTGATAAGCGTAAAAAATTATACATAAACAGCATGTGTGTTTACATAATGAAATCGCTTATCACATTCGTGTTGATTTTGTTATTTCATGGGCGTCGCAGGTGTTGTAACCAGGTCAAAGTCTGTTTTACTCCATCATTCTTATTCAGCTCAGACACTTTGGATTCTGTTTGATACGAAGTGCTTCCAATATATT